TTTACGGTAATATACAAAGTACACTAGAGCTGTGTCAATATAACTATTCCGGTTACTGATATTACTGGGCAGTGAAATCGTCAAGCCGTGTGTCCTCCGTTGTCAGCTCTCCCCATTTAAAGCATGTGGAAAGTCGCAAACCAGTGGCAGCGAAACTCCCCTCCCCGCTTGCCCCTGAAAAGCGATTTCGTGACGATTGTTTGAAGCGAGATGGCTACTTATGTCTTGTCACAAAACTTATGGATGGTAACCATTGGGAGACAATGGGATCCCCTAACGAGCAGCCAACGGCACCAGTCGAGGTCGCACACATCATACCATTTTCATATGCCAATTTTTCAGCCAAGGAGGTGAGTTTTTCACCAACTGGTTCAACTCTCACGGCTTGTCGGGGATGTTGATGTAAAACGTTTATGTAGGGTCCTCCCAAAGATATAAGTGAACGATGTTTCCCACCCTTAAAAAAAATAATTGAAGTGAAAAAAATAAATCACACATCGAATGGCCTGAGTCTCTATTTTCCATTACACCGCTACTTTGCAAGCTTCCAAATGGCTTTCGAACCGATGGTAGGCATTGTTGATTTCTCTGGCGTGCTAGTGACTGTACTGATATTGTCGGTGCTCATAGGAGGAAACTAATACGTACCGCATCAAAACATACCCCAGCTTTGATCCAATAATGCGGCGAAATCTTCCAAAAGATCGAATCGTGAGATTCGGCACCAATGACGATAGCTCCCAGGGTGACCTCCAGCCCCCCGAAGCTGAACTTCTTTGGGCCCACTTTGCTGTCGCAGAGATACTTTATGCGTCAGGAATGGGAGCTATATTGAGAAAGTGATGGATGATATCGAATACATTGGATGCCTTTGTGGAAGATGGGTCCACCGATGTTGGTCGGATACTAGATCTTGCTCGCGCTTTTGTTCCTACCAGAATCTTTGAACAGCCGTATTTAGATTGTTACTAGTTAAATTAATAGAAAAAAAACTCATGTCCAGCGCAATTGTCACCCTCCCAACCCCCGGAGCGAGAAGATGTTTGACTACGACCGCAAGATGGCGCCTGGAATCACCAACTTCTCGTTGCCCCTCCCTACCCACTCACTATCTCTATAGTGGGTAGTAAGCACTGTTTTCCCAATTCTGGCGTTTTCCATCGCTGACATCGTGTTTAAAATTCAGACAGTAGATATTCTAAAAGTGAATGCTAGCTATCAAGATCTTATATTTAAGAATAATTGGTGTGTGGCGGGCGGCTCCTCGGTGACTTGGCACAGCATTGGAACGGCCCGAGGTCAGCCACGGATACTTTCATCCCTGGTCAGTGTGAGGCCGAAATACTCGTTTGGATGTACACAACTTTAATGCTTTGTTTGAAGTGCTTTGTTCAGAAAGCTTACTGACATTGGTAAGGAATCCTTATGGCGAAGCTGGAGAGTCACGATGTCAGCTTAATTTCACAAATTCCTTCTGATGCCTCAATTACACATGGTCTCAGCCCGCTCTTGGCCAATTTTTCTCAGGACCATGTGCTTCCGGGTGAAAAGCTCCCAGCGGAGAGTCTCTCCGCAATTATTCAAAGGCTTAATCGAGCAATAGTCAACAGTGATATTATCTGGGAACTTGGGTCAACCAGTTGTACTCGGCATCAGCCCAGAGATAGCCATGAAAGCTGGGTGCGGTATCGACATCGACCACATCCCGACAATGAACCACGTCAAGCAGCGACTTCCCCAACTTCGGTCTCTAGATATACACGGAATCCTTCAAGCTGGGCGCTGGAGTTTTGTGTTCATGACCAGAATTGAAGGCGAGCCGCTTGACCGACTCTGGAAAACACTTAGCCCGGCCCAGAAGGAATCTATCAAGGAGCAAACTAGGATCTATATTTTCCAGCATTAGATCACTTCCTCCACCTCCTTCAGATGAACCCCATGCCATTCTCGGTGGTGGTATCCCGAGAAGATGTAAGGATGCAAGGAGGGATATACAGGTTGCAGAGCATCCCATAAAAAATGTGGCCGAGTTCAATCAGTTTCTGACTTCTGATCCAAAGCGTACGGAAACAGGATGGCCGAAGATGATTCGTTCGTTTCTTATCTCCGACTATAAGTTGGTTATGACGCACGGCGACCTTCATCCTCGCAATGTCATGGTGCTCAAGCCCAATGTATCCCCATCAGATGTTCCTGCAGATTGGGTTGAGGTGACAGGCTTACTCGATTGGGAAATGTGCGGTTACTATCCAGAGTATTGGGAATATGTGAAAGCCCTCCATACAATTCGCCCGGGAGGTAGCTTTGATGACTGGTGGGCCTACCTACCAGTTTCAATCGTATGTGTGGCCCAAGGAGTATGCTGTCGGCCAATTGATAAGCCGTTGGAGGGGCTAGAAATGACAATTGGTATGTATGCTTGATGGCTCATTTACTCAGAACTTGAAGTGATACAGGAACAACCAAGGAGGCCGTATCACTGTATGTATTGAAGTCCCTTATCAAAATGAGGATTCTCCATAAGGAACCTGTTTTTAATGGTTTTTTTTCCCCTTTGAGATTACCCAGTATCTGGAACAAGAACCAGGCAATAAAAGTCAATGGACATATCTACAAAAGAAGCTCTACTATCCCAGCATGTTGAATCCTAGGAATAGGCTGGCGCTAGTTGAAATTTCCCAGCCATCACAAAACTATCCAATTTCGAAACAAATATTCTGTACAAAGTTGAGAACAACAAGCAACAGCTAATCAACTTACTAAGGGTGGGAGATTAACAAAAGAAGGAAAATTTTATCAAAACAGCAGCAATTTGCTCCCTGGGAGAGCGATTTGGCTGGTTGTAGCGTGGAAAAAGCAAAAATACGTTCCTCTCTTGGGCAAGATATTATTCAAATAATAAGGACTTAGGAAAACTCAATTCACATTTTACGGTATTTAATCAAATATGCTCTAGACATCACTATCACTACACCTCTTGAGGTCCTATACGTAGAACTCATAAAGCAAAACTACTTCATTGCCCTACTTCCGCGTTTCCTTCATGGCCTCATATTCAGTAAGCAAGTCGGTCGCAGCTTTTTCAAACCCAGCATTTGCACTTCTCCATAACCGCGGCCCAACACTAATCCTTGCCACACCAATATCTGCCAACTCCTGAACACTCAATCCATTCGGCCAAGCAATTACATTAATACGCCCGCCCAGGTCTCTCGAAATCCTGACTACCTCATCCCGAGTCAATCCACCACGTTTCTGGCCTCCCCAGACGAACGCTGTCGTGGCGCCAGCATCCAAGAACGCTCTTCCCCGCCGAATTGCTTCGTCGACATCGTTGTTCAACAGGATGGCATCAGTGCGGGCATTCAGCGCGAAATTTGGAACCCCCGCTTTCGATGCTGCAGCCAACACTCGACGCACACGATCCAGGGCTACATCAAATGGGAAAAGTTGACCTGTCTCGTTGTCGTGATCCTCGAGATTACACCCAGAAGCACCGGCCTCAACGATGGCTTCAACGGCCTTCTCAAGTTGGTCCCCATAACCATCTTGTAGGTCGATCGTGATAGGTTTGTTGTGCCGAATCGCAACTGGGATAATACGCCTGGCAGCAGCCAAGTTTGTGTCCAGATCCAGGGCATCATCTTCGAGGCCATGAACCTTAGCGATGGAGTAGCTGGCCGTTGCTAGAGCCGGACATGAAGGATTCGAGGCAACAAATTCTGCTGTTGGGGGGTCATAAATGTTTGCAAGGACGAGAGGAGTGCCAGGAACATGGAGTTTGCGGAGCCGGAGCGCCCTGTCATCAGTGGCCATAGTTGTGCTGGAAAGGTCGTTGATTGAAGGTTATAGGTAGGACCTTGACAGTCTTGATACTAGGTGGTTAATGAAGAAACTGGAAAAATACTTCTGATAAACAATGAAACTGATCGTGCGGCGATACCCTAAAATATTAATAACTAAACCTCCACCGCTCCTTCAATCACAGCGAGCAGCTGACGACGTCAGATTTAAATACCTCCTTCCCAGAGGCTTGTGTTTCGGGAAAATATTTTTGCAGCAACTTTTCACGACTTCTCGTATTATTAGCCATTTTATGACCACTCCCATGACTCGTTCTGACTGTGGGGCATTCAGCGTTAAGTGCGGGGGAAGTCGTTAAGGTCCGTATTGCTAAGGAGCTGGGTTCCCAATCAATTGCCAGACCATCATGAAGAGAGCGGCATCGGGAGGCTATGGTTTTCAGTCGGGGCTGTAAAGCGACCCTTTTGGTCGCATGCAGTTGTATCGCTCATGTGTGCTGGAATCGCTGCTGTATCTCGGTCCCACATTGTGTGGGTCTCAATCCGCTCACAATCTAGCAACCACCGGCGTATTGGCATTTAGAAATCAGGTGCGTAATATTCATCCCCTTGCCGACTCGTAGTTTCCGAGGCATCACGGCAAATCCCGAAACGGGTCTAGTAATTTTCAATCAGCAATTGTGATAAACTAATATATGACATCCATGGATATATATTTGCACAATATATAACCTATTGCCACCACAAACCCTAACTCCAGAGACATGGAGAAGTCTCGAAGCCGTCGATGGGTGTGGAATGTAGACCGTGCAAATGCATGAGGTTGAACCAGTTCGCGAAACGGCGCGAAGTCACCTGACCTAACTGACCCTATTTTTTTTTTGTCAATGAGTACGGAGTAGAGATGTTTGGATTCAAGGAGGGAGGCGTTCATTTTTTCCATTTCTTTATTTATATTCCTAATACCTTTTATTATTTTCAATTAGGCAAATGATTTCCCGCTGTTCGGTCACAGTGGCGTTTACTCGAGTCCCTAATTTATGGTCCAACTCTACATTTTTGAATGCTGGCGGCAGCCTTGTCGCTATGTCATTGTTCGGAATGCACAACCAGGCAAGACGTTTGCAGCCAGTAAGGGCGTATTCCAGCTCTCCAATGGACCAGCACAACCGTTCGGTTGAGAGAATAGCGGACTCTGTCCGCCGGTTCTATAAACATGGCGAGCCTTTCCGTGTTCAACATGGCTCAACAAACAGTACGCGGCCCCGGCGCCATAATCATGTTGTAGATATAAGTGATCTATCCAATGTTTTGAAGGTTGATGTGGAAAAGCGAATTGCGCTGGTTGAGCCCAACGTGCCCATGGATCGCCTGGTTGAAGCCACTTTGCCATTCGGAATGGTGCCACCAGTAGTCATGGAATTTCCTGGGATTACTGCTGGTGGAGGATATGCTGGCACAGCTGGGGAAAGCAGCTCGTTTAAATATGGATTTTTCGACCGCACAACAAATTCTGTCGAGATGGTCCTAGCAAATGGAGATGTCACAACGGCATCAGAGACACAAAACTCAGATCTGTTCCGTGGCGCGGCCGGTGCTGTTGGGACTCTTGGAATTACCACCCTTTTGGAGCTCCAACTAATCCCTGCGAAAATGTACGTCAAAGCGACGTATCATCCTAAACGATGCGTTGCGGACACAATCAGGCTCGTGAAAGAGGAAACAAATAATCCCACTAACGATTATGTGGATGGCATTCTATTCTCCAAGGATCATGGCGTGGTTGTCACCGGTACAATGACGGATGAAAAGCCGTCAGAAACCCAAGTTCAGACCTTCAGCCGCTCAAGAGATCCGTGGTATTATCTACATGTGAAGGACAAAACTCAGGATGTGACTTCTCCAGTAACTGAATACATCCCGCTGGCCGAATATCTTTTCCGGTATGACCGCGGTGGGTTCTGGGTTGGCGCCTCCTCATTTGATTATTTCAAATTCCCCTTCAACAAGTTCACTCGCTGGTTCCTTGATGACTTCCTAAATACACGTATGTTATACCGGGCACTCCATGCCAGCTCAGAATCGAGTCGATACATCGTCCAGGACTTGGCCTTACCTTATTCTACTGCGGAAGCCTTCGTTGACTACACCAGTGAAGCGTTTGGGATTTTCCCGTTATGGCTATGC